TAACCCCAGAGGGACATTTACCGAAAGGCCCAGAGGCGGCGTTCGCATGCGTCCCCGCCAACCAGTATGGCGCACCCCTGACACGCTTTGAACCCCCATGGGGAGCCCGAATTCCCCAGTGGCGGTGTCCACGTGCGTCCGCGCCACAAACATTGGCACACCCCTCACACGTTTCGTGGCCCCATCGGGAGCTCCACCGGATGCCCCAATGGCGGTGTCCACATGCGACCGCGCCACCCATTTCGGCAGACCTTCCATACGTTTTGTGGCCCCATAGGGACGGCGTTCGCATGCGTCCCCAAAGCGGCCGAAAGGGACGCCGTTCGCATGCGTTGACATCGACCGAAAGCCCCAGTGGCGGCGTTCGCATGCGTCCCCGCCAACTAGTTTGGCGCACCCCTGACACGGTTTGAAGCCACATGGGGAGCTCCACCGAAGGCCCCATGCAACCGCGCCACCCATGTCGGCATACCGTTCATACGTTTTGTGGCCCCATAGGGACATCTATCGAAGGCCCCAGTGGCGGCGTTTGCATGCGTCCCCGCCAACCAGTTTGGCGCACCCCTGACACGTTTTGAAACCCCATGGAGAGCTCCACCGGATGCCCCAGTGGCGGTGTCCACGTGCGTCCGCGCCACAAATATGGGCACACCCCTCGCACGCTTCGTGGCCTCATAGGGACCTCCACCGAAGGCCCCAGCGGCGGTGTCCACATGCGACCGCGCCACCCATTTCGGCACACCGTTCATACGTTTTGTGGCCCCATAGGGACATCGACCCAGGACCCCAGTGGCGGCGTTCGCATGCGTCCCGCCAACCAGTTTGGCGCACCCCTGAAACGTTTTGAAGCCCTATGGGGAGCTCCACCGAAGGCCCCACTGGCGGTGTCCACGTGCGTCCGCGCCACAAATATTGGCACACCCCTCGCACGTTTCGTGGCCCCATAGGGAGCTCCACCGAAGACACCAGCGGCGGTGTCCACATGCGACCGCGCCACCCATGTCGGCACACCGTTCATACGTTTTGTGGCCCCGTAGGGACATCTACCGAAGGCCCCAGTGGCGGCGTTCGCATGCGTCCCCGCCTGCCAGTTTGGCGCACCTCTGACACGTTCTGAAGCCCCATGGGGAACGCCACCGAAGTCCCCACTGGCAGTGTCCACGTGCGTCCGCCCACAAATATTGGCACACCTCACACGTTTCGTGGCCCCATAAAGAGCTCCACCGAAGGCCCCAATGGCGGTGTCTACATGCGACCGCGCCACCCATTTCGGCACACCATTCACACGTTTTGTGGCCCTATAGGCAGCCCCACCGAATGCCCCAATTGCGGCGTCCACATGCGTCCGTGCCACCCATTTCGGGGAAGCTGCCTGCGGCGGCCGTGCTCAGTGTCACGAGTACTTAGAGCCAGTCAGACTCAAACCATTCACATTCATATACACGTGCACCAGGCTTAGTCATGCTTGCACTCATGCAAATCGACTCGCCCGCACGCAGGCTCATTCACAGTCAGACGCACTCGTGCTCAGACTCACCCGCGCTCAGTCTCCAGTACTCAGAGCTATCGTTTTCTTTCGTGCTGTGGACACCCCGCCACGCATTTCGGCACACTCCTCACACGGTTCGTGGCCCCATAGGGATCGCAACCGAAGAAGACATTCACAATTGCGGTGCTCACAACTACATATGGTTGTGCCGTTCGCCCGGATTTGTTTCCTGTTTCTCGCTCTCTCTTTCTTTCTTTCTCTCTCTCTCTCTTTCTCTCTTTTTCTGCCTCTGTTTTTTTCTCTCTCCATCCTGTGGTGTTGGGCCCTAGGTTTTAAGAGGCAGCGCCCCGCATTCCTCCCTTCCTTCTTCTTACCCATCCTCCCTCCTCCCCTGCGTGCCCCTCAGCTCTCCGCATCTGTGTACCATTTCGGCACACCCCTCAAACGCACCGTGGCCTCATGGGGGGGGGCTCCACCGAAGGCCCCAGTGGCGGTGTCCACATGCGCCCTCGCCACCCACTTCGGCACATTCCTCACACGTTTCGTGGCCCCGTAGGGCGCTCCACCGAAGGCCCCAATGGCGGTGTCCACATGCCTCACACGTTTCGTGTCCCAATGAGGAGCTCCACCGAAGGCCCCAGTGGCGGCGTCCACGTGCGTCAGCGTCACCCATTTCGGCACACCCCTCACACGTTTTGTGGCCCCGTAAGGAGCTTTATCGAATGCCCCAATGGCGCTCTCCACATGCGTCCCCGCCACCCGCTTCGGCACACCCCTCACACGTTTCGTGGCCCCAAAGGGAGCGCCACCATTTTCGGCACCTCCCTCACACGTTTCTTGGCCCCATAGGGAGCTCCACCGAAAGCCCTAGTGGCAGTGTCCGCATGTGTTTGTCGCCACCCAGCCGGCTCACCCATCACACGCTTCGTGGCCCCATAGGTAGCTCCATCGAAAGGCCCAGTGGTGGTGTTCGCATGCGTCCCCGCCACTAATTTCGGCACGCCACTCACACGTTCCGTGCCCGCATAGTTCCACCGAAGGCCCCAGTGGCGGTGTTCGCATGCGCCCCCGCCACCCATGTCAGCACACCGCGAGGCTTGACAACCTGACAACTGCCGACCCTGACATCCTCTCGCTGCCCAAAACAACGGCGTTCTTGTTTCTCATGCTCGGCCTCTGGGGCTCTGGGGACTCTCTGAAGAGGTCAGAGAATCCACCCCCAGAATGACCGCCCCCGGCACGCGAAGCCCTTTGGCAAACGTGCCCAGGGAAGGAATCGAGCGGGGCAGGGCTGTCTAGCAAACGCCCAGGGCCGTGTAATAAACGCCATTTGTCCGGTCTGGGTGGTTCTTCCTCCCTTGACCCCCACGGCCTTTGTGGGCCCCGAAAACGGCAGGGCCGTTTTTTCACCGTTTCCAGAAAAAGTGTCTCTTTAACATGGAAGCGGCAAAAAAACGGCGACCGGAAACGGCAAAAAAAACGGCTCCAAGATTGGAACCTGAGCCGGAACCAATCAAAAAACGGCGACGGAACCGGTAGAAAAACGGCGTCGGAACCGGCGACAAAAACGGCAAAACGGAACCGGTAAAACAACGGCCCTGTCGTTTCGAGGGCCCACTAAGCCCACGGCGCCCCCGCACCGTCAACAGCACGCCTCGGGCTGACGCGCCCTTCCCCCCGGGAGGGGGCCCGACCTCCGAGGAGGCACCACGTCGTGAGAAAGCCACGGCGCCGCTCCGGGACGCACGCGACGGTCTTCGGGGGGGCCCGAGACCACCTCCACAGGAGGAGGAGGAGGAGGAGGAGGAGGAGGAGGAGGAGGAGGAGGAGGAGGAGGGAGGAGAGGAGGAGGAGGAGGAGGAGGAGGAGGAGGAGGAGGGAGGAGGAGGAGGAGGAGGAGGAGAGGAGGAGGGAGGAGGAGGCAGAGGAGGAGGGGGAGGAGGAGGAGGAGGAGGAGGAGGAGGAGGAGGAGGAGGGAAGTAAGGACGGAAGGGGAGGCCACATGGGCGATTTCGGAAACCCTGAACTCAAAAACGTTCTCATCTCTTGGAGGCGTTTTTTGTTACTTCCGCCGCCTTCCGCAGGCCTTCCGCCGGCTTCCGCCGGCGGAGGCGGCCTCGTCTTCCTTCTGCCGACCTTCCGCCGCCTTCCGCGGCGGAAGAGATGACAACTGCTTCGATCCTCGAAGGCGAGGCCTTTTTTGGAACGCTCCACATGCGAACTCCACCCCACCATTCCACGATTTCGAAAGGGGGGGTAGGGTTCGCATGTGGCCTCCTGCTCCGGGGATGGGGCGGCCGTCAGGGGATTGCAGGGAGCAGCTGTGGCCATGAGGAGGCTCAGAGGAGGACGAGGAGAACGAGGGGGCACCGAGGAGGATGCAGAAGGGGGATGCATATTCTTGGACTCTCGGGCCCTCCGGGCGCCCAGGCGCCTCCCTGGAAACCTCCGGGGGCCGCCTCCTCGCCCAGACCTTCGACGCCTGCCTCCCTGCTCACGGCGAGGGAGGGCCCCAAGGAGCTCTCGGCCCCATCCCCTCGGCGGCACCGGCTCTTCGCCCAGAGGAGCAACCTCTCTGAGGGCCCTGGCGCCCGAGACGACGGCCCACATGGGGCCGAACAACGTGTGAGCAAAACTGCCCGCCGCTGCTCCTCGGGCAGCGGTCCGAGATCGCTCCCCATGGGGCCTGCCCTGGAGCGCGCTCCGACCAGACTCTCGGGGCCAGGGCGCCCCTGAAGCCCGACAGGGCTGCAGGCGCAGGACTTCCTCCCCTCCCCCAGCTGACGACGGAATGTAGGAGCGCAAACTGTCACGAAGCGAGTCCTGGCACGCGGTGCACGCACGCAGCTTGAGCCTGCAAGCGGGACGCTGAAACAAGGGCCAGTCCGAGGCAGGGGCGCCGAGTCGAGGCAGAGACACCTGGGAGGGGGGCCAACCCGCCGAAGCCAATCCCCCGGCGACCGCGGGCGAGGGCGACGGCGGCGGTGACGGCAGCGACGGCGGCGGCGCTGGCGACGACAGCGGCGACCACGGCGGCAGCGGCGGCAGCGCCCCCCCTAAGGGGGGGGGAGGGGGGGACCCGCTGAAGCCAACCCCCCTGCGACCAGCAGCGAGGGCGACCGGCCGCGAGGGCGACTGCGGCAGCGGTGGCGGCGACAGCGGCGACGACGGCGGCGACGACGGCGGAGGCAGCAGCGGGCCCCTCCCACAACGGGCCCCTCCGATCGTCGGGCCTAGCTCGGCTCGTCTGCCGCGGTTTGGGGCGATAAGGGCACCCCTGGAACGCACTCGGCGAGGCGCAGCCGCTGGAACGCACCCCGGAGCTGGAGACCCGCCAGGGACCGACGATCGGTGGCGGCAGCGGCCCCTCCGACCAGCCACAACCGAGGGAGCCGTGTCTCTTACCCCCCGGGAGAGCCCCCGCTCGAATCGACGATCTCTCGAGAGGGGTGCCGAGCTCGACGGGTCCCTCAGTCGTGGCTGGTTTTGCCCCCCCGTCGGCGGTGGGCGCCCCTCGCGCTGGCAGGCGGGCCCGGCGGGCAGCTCCAACTCCGCAGGCTCGGGCGCGGCGGCGGGCGGCTGGGCCTTTCGACGGCAACCCCCCATGGAGCACTCGCCTCGGACGCTGGATCCTAGAGAAGAATTGCTATGAAGGGCAACGCTGCCCAGATCCTTGGATACAGGATTTCTGTCGGCCGCGATCGGTGGCGACCGATCGGCACTCTCGGTCGGAATCGGGATCGATCGCAAATCGGACGCGGCCGCTACCGGAATCTGCAGCAACGTCGGTGGCGACCGGTCTCGTCGGTCGCGACCAGACACGCAACGTCCTGGACAAAGTAAGGGCATCGCGCAGGCCCCCCGTTCCAAGAGAACCACAGACATGCAACGTCCTGGCAAAATCAGGACGCACATGTCTCTCAAGCTTCGGCCTCTCGGGGCCCTTTACCAGGCTCTGGGACCGTAGCAAGAACTACTCGGAATGAAAAAACCAGCCCTGGAGAAGGGGTCGGGACTCCTGGGGACCGCATCTGGAAACAAACTTAAGGCATCGCGCAGCTAATGAGGGGCAACGTGGCGGGCGACCCTTGCGGAGGAGGTCCCCTGAGATCCGACGTCACGGAAATTCGCAGCATCGCGAAACCGCAGAATCCTTTTGCTGCATTTCTCGAGCTGGATCGATTCGTGGAGGTCCCGGGGCCCGAGACAAGGCAAAGTCGCCTGTGGTGAAAAATGCAGCGCACGGATCTCAGGGTCGTGGCGGCCCTTGCAGAGGAGGTCTGGGGGTGAGAGCCAACGATGCGGGAGGACCAGCTCGAGCGGACAAGATCGAGCTTGAATCGGCGATACATCGACGATGGGTCGAAATCGCGCCCCCGATAGCGAAGCCGCACGGTTCAGGGCGGGGTGGGCCATCAGGCCCCCATCGGCGATGAATGGGCGATTGGGTGTCGATGCGTCCCCCCCCTGAGCCCATCCCCACCTGACGTTGCCTTGATGTCAGCGGAGGCGGTTCTGAGCGCTCTCGCCCCGACGCCGGCTCCATCCCCTCTGAGAGCGAGGCTCCCGCTCGAGCACGGCTTCGCTCCAGGTCTGGGCCCGTGGGGGCGGAACTGCGACGGCAACGGCCTCCTCTCCCGATGCTGCCTCGCAGTGCCCTGGCCAGAGAGGCCCCCGAACCAAGGAACGTCGTCCTCGCACGACACCTCCTCTCGTCACGTCCGTGAAAGCCCAAATGCGGAGACACCGGCTCCTGTTCGGTAACGTTCCGTGGTGACGTCGCCCAGGCTATTCGATGTGCTGGTCGTCTCATGCGGGGTGTCCCTGGAAGTCCTGCCCCTCTCCCCGGGGCCAGCGTGTCATCCTGGGCTATAATCCTTGACGGCCGCTGGGCCTGGCGAGGGCCCCTGGAAGCCGAACACGGCGAGCACACCTCCGCCTGGAGTTCTGTCCAGACATTGGGTGTCTGGCTTTGGGGCCCAACACGGGCCCTGGCGAGGCGCAACCACTGCCTCCCGGGATTGGAATATCTCCGGGAGCCGACGAGAACTGACCGAAGTCCAACCAAATCACTCCCCAGGCCTACCTTAGTTAGTTTCGTTAGCTGCGTCCAGCCGCAGCGGCGAGAACCTCCAGAATCTACCTATTTAAACAGAGGGCGACACCTTTCTGCAATTGTCGACCTGGCGCCCAGCTTCCGCAGCCGCTTCCACCCTAGATGCGCACACGCCATAGCCAGGCAGTCTGTATCTGCGGGCACTGCGGTTGCATGATGTCTGCTGCCGATCTCGCTGCCTCGGACCTGCGAGTGGGAGTAAGGCCTGGGGGTGTAAGGCATGCGAGGGAGGAGGAGGGTACAGGGGCAGGCATCCGGGGCCGACGCTGGGATCATGTGTTCTGCATCACTGCTGGCTGCGGATTCCGCATCCCATCAGGCGGGGAAAAACACACACACACATACACAATCCATCGTCGTTCCCCCGGAAAATTGAGGAAAATACGGGAAGTGGGGGGGAAGACAAAAAACCCATAAAATATGGGAATATATGGGGGACTCCTGTTATTTGTGTGTGTGTATGTATTTGTGTGTTCCAGGGCCCCTTCATCCCAGCTGGTGCCCGAAACCGCACCTCCTCTGTGAGTGTACATCGAGCGGCCCGCATCCCAACTGATGTCTGGGTCGCTCTGATCGTTGGCCACTGCAAGCTTTCATAGCGCCAGCGGCACGCTTCCGAGCATTCCTGCCGATGCTCGGTGTGTCGACGGGGGCTCGGGGTGTCATGCCCCCGCGCTGCTGCTGTGCTTGCTCCACCGAGAACTGAATCGCTTCGTTGATTCCTCCAACCCAGGCTAGTCCTCGCGGGCGTTCATCCACGTGTCCAGGTGGTGGCAGGTTCCTTCAACTGTTGCGTGGGCAGTCATGGGCGTCTCGGGGCAGATGGCTCGAAATGGCCGCTGGTGACACCTCTCCTGGGCCACACTTCGGCCCCCCCTATGGAGGCCCTCTTGGGCCGTCTTGGGGTTCGTGTCGGGGCTCATTGTGTCATCGTTGGCGATGGCCTGCGTGCTCGCGGGGGGCATTTTTGGACCCGCGAGGGGCCTCTTGGGAGCCTCTTGGGAGCCTCTTGGGGGCCCCTTGGGGGCCTCTTGGGGGCCTCTGAAATCATGTGTGGCCATCTTGGCGCGCTTTTGGCCTGAAGCCTTGGGGCCTGCCCCCTACTTGGCGCCTCCTGGGGCGCCCTGGGAGCACTATGGACCGCACCCAGGAAGTCTGGCATTGCTGACCCCGACCCGGCCAGGACTTTGAGCTGGTACTTGTCGTCTGGGGTGCCCAAGGGGGCCGTACCGCGCTCGCGAACTATGGATATCTGAACCTTTTTAGTGGAGATTCTAATGCGCCTCTGGCCCGTTGGGCCTGCGAATTGTAATTTACTACTATGTTGGGCAGTTGTGTTCTAGCTATCGGACTGCTGTATTTTCGTCGTTCGTTCGCTCGCTCGTGGCCTGCCCCCCCTCGCCTGGCCTACCCCTGGCCCTCGTCCCAGCCCCCTCGCTCCCCATGGCCCCGGAGCTTCGCGGCCCCCCCGCTCCTAGCCTTCCAGGGAACCTGGCCTGCCCCTGGCCCTTGTCCCAGCCCCCTCGCCCCCCCCTGGCTCGCGATCCTTTTCTTTTATCGTCGTTCGTTCGCTCGTGGCCTGCCCTCCCCCCCCCCCAGCCCCCCGCACCCCCCTCGCCCAGGAGCCCTTGCCTGCCCCGGGCCCTCCTCGCTCGCCCGTGGCCCTGGAGCCCTGCCTCCTCCTGCGCGGCTGTGCTCTCGAGCCCCGACTCCTCTCTTACTCCCGCCGCTTGTCGTCGCTCGTCCTCCTCGCCTGGCCTACCCCTGGCTCGCCCCCCACCTCTGGCACGGCCTCGGTGCGCCGCCCCATCTGGCCTCCTCCTCCTCTTTTTCCTCCTCCTCCTCCTCCTCCTCCTCCTCCCTCCTCTCCTCCACTCCTCCTCCTCCTCCTCCTCCTCCTCCTCTTTTTCTCCTCCTCCTCCTCCTCCTCCTCCTCCTCCTCCTCCTCCTCCTCCTCCTCCTCCTCCCTCCTCTTCCTCCTCCTCCTCCTCCTCCTCCTCCTCCTCCTCCTCCTCCTCCTCCTCCTCCTCCTCCTCCTCCTCCTCCTCCTCCTCCTCCTCCTCCTCCTCCTCCCCCCCCTGGACTTCCCTCCTCGCATGGCCTCGGCCTCCCCCTTGCCTCGCCCCTGACCTGGCTTCCCTGGGCCCTGCGCCGATCCATCCGGCCTCCCCTTCGCCTCCCGGCAGCCCCCCCTAGGCTGTGGGGCCGTTTACCTCAGTCGCTCGTCGTCGTCAGTTCTGCTCCCCAGGCCTCCCCCTCACTTCCCTCCCTGGCCTCGCCCTGGCCTGGCTTTCCTGGGCTCTGCGCCGCCCCATCTGTCATCTCCTTTCTAGTCTCCCAGGACAGCCATCCCTGGGCCGCATCCCCCTGGCCTTCCAGGGCAGAACCTCTGAGCCGCAGAGCCCTTTGTTCTCTTGCGCAGCTGTTTTCTAAAGCCCGAAGCCCTTTATAGTCGTCGTCGTCGTCGTTCGTTCGTTCGCTCGTCGCTCCCCTGGGCCGCCTCTGCCCCTGCCTCCTCGTGATGGTCATGATGGCGCCAGGAGGACACCAAGATGGCCCCAAGAACCCCCTCTCCTCACGCCGCCTCGCCTGGCCCTTGTGCGTGCCACCTGTTTGCGGGGCGCGCTAGGGCATGCGTGCCACTTGTTTTCGTCCTTCGTTCGTTCGCTCGTGGCCTGCCCCCTCCTCCCCTGGCCCACCCGTGGTCTCCGCCGCAACACCTGGCTCCCCGCCCGTCCGGTACAGTCCAAGAAAGCCTCTGGGGGGCCTCCGGGGGACCGTCGAGGGTGCCCTCTGGAAGGCCTCCTGGGTTCCCCTCTCCCCACAGACACCCTTTCGCTCCTGTCCTGCCTCCCCCCGGGGATCAACGAAGGGGAGGGGGAGCCTCTGGAGCCCTTCGGGAAAGCGTCTTTTGGTGCCCCCTCACTCCTGGCCAGGTAGGGGCCCGTCCAGCAGAGCGAGCCTCTGGGAGGCCTCTGAAGGGGGGCGCCGTTCGGTGCCCTCCCACCCCCGCTTCCACTCTTGGTTTGCCTCCCCTCACGGGATCACGAGGGGGGAACCTGCGGGCACAGTCGGGAGCCTCCAGGGGGCCTCCAGGGAACCGTCCAGGGGGGCCCCTCTGGGAGGCCTCTGTGACTGCCGTCCGGGGCTCCCCTCCCCCACTCTCTCGTTCCTGTGCTGGCCCCCCCCCGTCACAAGGGAGCAATGAAGGGGAAGGGGGGCCACTATAGGGGGCCTCCGGGAGACCGTCCTGGGGGCCCTCGCGGAGGTCTTGGAGTGCTGGTGCCGTCTGCGCACCCACCTACCTCCCAGCCGTTCGTATCTTGCATCCCCTCAAGGGGGCATGCCTGTTGCGCAGGCTACCCCCGATGCTCACCCGAGCCTATATTCTCTTGCGCCGCTGTTTTCCAGAGCTCGGAGCCGTTTCTGTTCGTCGTCGTTCGTTCGTTCGCTCGCTGCCCCCCAAGCC